ATGCATAAAATATTATTAATTATATTATACATTATATTATTTCACATTATATCTGGAAAATTAAAATAAAATTATGTGATTGGCTAGTTAAGATATTCCATATCATATATATATTAAATATAATTAATTAATTTAATTTATATTTTTGAAGAGTAACTAATTATAATTTAATAAATTATAAATAATATAATAATAATATAAATAATAATAAAAAAGAATGAATAAAAATATAAAGAAAATATTAAAAAAAATCCAATTAAAATATTAATAATCTAAATTAATAATAAGAATATATATAGTAATTATCTATATAATAATATAATAAATCTAATTAATTAAATATATAAATGATTATCTATATATTCAGTATGAAAATAATCTTTAAAAAAAGTAATACAGAAGTTAATCTGTTATATAAATAATATAAAATAAAGATCTAAGACTAAAAAATATAACTTAATTAAAATTATTACAAGATATTACTAAAATATTCTTTGAAAATTATATAATTTATTATTAATAATTATTTTAAATAGAAATATTAAGTTTATTAATAAATTTTAAAAGTTATTTTTTAAATAGCTTGTAATAAAATTAATAATATTAATAATTTTTTTATTTATAATTAAATAATCAATTAAAAAATTTAATAAAACTTTAGAAAAAATATTAAAAATATATATAAAACTATATATAAGTAAAATTAATAAGATAAAAATCTTGTAATAATTAAATTTACTTATAATAATAAAAATACTTCTATTAAATATATATTATTTAAATTAAATTATAAATAAGTATTTTATATTTTAATTATTATTCTTTTATTAAATAATAATATTATAATCTCTTAAAAATTTATAAAATATTAAAATATTATAATTAAAACTATCAAAAATTTCTTACTTAAAATATAAGATAAATAGTTAAAATATATAAATTAATATAAAAAATATAAAGAATTTATTATTAAAAATCAAGTTTTTTTTCATTCATAATATAAATAATTCTATAAATAAAAAATAATTAAGAAACTTATATTAAAATTTATTAAATTCTTTAAGATTATTAGTAAAATCTTTTTATTATTTATAAATTATAATTATTAGTTAATATAAAATTATATTTAATATTTTATATTTTTATTATTAAAGAAATATAATTTAAATGATAAATTTAATAAATATATAATTATTTCTTATTATTATATTAAATAATAAAAAAGAATATAAAGTTAATTATATTCTTAATAAGAAAATTTATTACCATAAACTTTAATATTTTGTTAAATAGCTAGATTATTCTCTTTATAATATCATTTAAAAATTTTTTAAAAACTTGAAAAATATTATAAAAAAATAAATATCTTTAAAAAGTTATATACTTAAATATAATAAAAATACTTTAAATAAGAAGATATATACTTATTTTAATTTATTATATTTCTTTTAACTTAGATTTTATTTATATTTTCTATGTTATATTTTATTTTTTATATTATTTATTCTAAAAATTAATTTTATTTTAAATATATAAATAATTATTATATATTAAATTAATTTAATATAATATAGATTATCATACAGATAATTATTATATACTATCTAATTATTAATTTAAATTATTTTTATTTTTAATTAATTATTTTTTTTATAATTTTACTTGTTCTTTAATTATTATTAATTATTATTATATTATTAAATTAAATATAATTAGCTTTTTAAAATATGATATAAGATTATTAATTTATTTAATTAAGTAAAATTCATATATTTATTATTAGAATCAGAAACTTGATAATGAGATTGATATCAAAAGATAGTTATCTTAATTATACTATGATCACGTGTTAGAATTTTGGCCAATGAAATTCAATGATAATGATCAGCTATTTGATATGACTAAGCTGTTTGCATCATAGTATTAAGTTAATAAATATATATTGAATCAGATTAAAATTTGATAGATATAATAATTCTGACTATCAACTTTGTAAATTTTTATATGCTTTCTATAGAAAGTCATAATTATATAATTTAGTATAATATTAATATTCAACACAACTTCGCGTTATCTTCATTTAAATTTATTTATTTTCATGGTTCCACCATAATGATGTTTTATACCGTCCGAAGTAGCGGGTAAACAAATTCCGCAAAATATGTACCCTCTGATTGATATTCTTTATTTTCAGATTTAGAACTACGAAGTTTAGTTTTAATAGATTGAATTCTTAAATTTTTGCTTTTTTCCTGCATTTGTTCCAATCGCTGTTGCTGTCGTCGTCGTCGTCGTTGATTTAAAGATCGTTTAACCGTTATCGTTTTTTTTTTAATTAATTTTTAAGTGATGATGTATAGTTTTTTGTATATTATATGGCAAAATTTATGCAAGCATGTTCACGTGTAGCTCAGATAGCGATTAGATATACAGTAGATACAACTATTTGTCACCATGGCGGCAATTAGAATATCACAAGATACTGCTATCGCTATTACCTTCACCGCACGATTTTACTCGGAAATGATAATTAAAAAGATTCTGATGCACGCGTGCATTAAAAAGATACATATTTTTCGCTTCTAGCTCTCAGTTTAAGTGCCAGCAATCACAACAACAGCAACGACAATGATAGCAATAGCAACAGCAACAGTAATCGCAACACACAGCAACAATTCAACAATTCTGTTCTCAGTTTTTAAGTTCAAATTGTAATCGAATTAAGAAGTTATTATAAATATCAGCTATCGCAATCGCAAACATAACAACCACAACAGCAACAACAACAGAGAACACAACAAAAGCAGCGACGGCGGTTAAAGCATTCGCTAACTTAATTAATAGTAAACTCGAATAGCAGAAATTGATTCGTGAATCATAAAAGCACTACTAATAATTGGTAACGTTAATAAAGAAGTAAAATTTAGTGGATTTCATGAAGTAAACGAAGTAAAAAAGGAGAAATAAGGATTGTTCGACACAATCCTTTCTTTAGTTATATTTTATTATTTTGTGATTGTTGTGTTTTCATCGATGCAATAACGATAAATAGTATAGAAAAAGCTAACGAAAAAATGTATATAAGGAATGGGCGGCCTTTAAAAAATGATAGAAATAAACTTGCGTACAATTTTTCCCCAAGTGTGTGAGCAATTGTGCTGAAATGTTACGTTGATCTATCGTGCTGAAAAACCGTATATAAGACTATGAATTTGGTGCAAACTCATTCAATACTGTTGGATTATCATAAAAATACTGTTTTCACTTTGGTCTTTAATTCCCCTAATTTTCATTCTCTTTGTTTTTTAATTAAAATTTGATTTTTTTTCTTTTAAAACTGGAATCAAGCCAAAAAAAGCTTACAAGAGGAACTCACCATACTGATTTATCACGTAAGAAAAATACAATACCAGTGTCGAACATTAAATTTGCAAACTGAATGAATTTACGAATTTATTCGTTTTCTTTCTCGTTTTAACTGCTTGCTAGAGTCTTACCACGTATTCGTTTTCCTTTAATGCTAATTTTAAAATATTCTGTTTCTCCATTTTTCAGATTCTTCAACCTTCTCGAGAATATCCATAACAAACTCGGCTATCTCGCTAAAGTTCATGTCATCGAGTCTTCTTTTTTTGTGGTAGTTGGGAACAATCTTTAGCTGTCTCACTAATTCACAGCTGAACTATTTCATTGTCAACAATTTCTTTATAACCATATAGATCATAGTAATCTCCGCCTAATGTCAAATAAAAATAAAAATTAAACAATTTGCACTCTTTTAAAGTTAGACAAACTATATATAACACATATATTATTAAAATTCATGTGCGCAGGATTTGGATCGATTACAGCATACATGTACATGTACAGTATATCGAGTCTAATCGTAAAAACTGAAATAAGATTTTTGTATTCATTTTCAAATAAAAAATCATGAGATGATTTAAAAACTAACCTGTGTAGTAATTTTTCTATAAAAGTTAAACTTTCTTTATAGTCAGCGTGTGTGGTTAAAGAATCCGTTGATTTAGTTAAAGCGACGGTAAACTCGAATTGCGTACTTTAGCAGGAATTATTTTCATTGATTTATTAAATAGTTGATTAACTAAAATAAAGTAAATTTAGTGGATTCCATGACAAAGTAAAAAAATATGAAACAGAAACAGAGACACAAATACACTTTTTTTTATTATTAGAAGCAGCATCTTGAAAATGACATTTTAATACAAAAAAAATGCTAATACTCTTTTATTTAAGAAATTCCTATATACATCAATATTAAGCTGGAAATAAACCCTCTATAGCTAACTTCTGGATTACTTCTCTATTTTCCGGATATCTTTGAATGTATATAGAACAAAGGTGTTGTTTCCGAATATATACATGACAGACAATTCGCTCAAAGTCAGATGATATATGTGATATATAGTGATAATTTCAGTATCAGATTTAAAGACCGCTATGCTATCTGGAAAGTTCGCGTAAATTTTACCCAAACTATTATTCAGGAAACGCAATAATTTTTACTTTTGTCGCATGATATAGACGCAATGATTTTTATTTTTGTCGCATGATATTCTGATGAATAATACTTCAAGAAATTTATGGATATGGCATCTGGCTTTTTAGCATTCGATTTTCTTTTTCGCGCTCTACTAGATTCATCTTGGAGTTCTGCATTGTAATAAAGATATATATATATATTAATAATAAAAAACAATACTTTGCTTAAAGATTTACTTACGCATTTAAGATGCCTCGATTTTTTGAAAAATCTTCCGTGATACCGATTTGCTTTTAATCACGTAATTTCAACACAACTTTGCGTTTATCTTCATTAGATCGTTTAAATTTATTTTCTTCATGGTTCCTCTGTAAGAGTATAATGATGCTTTATACTGTTTGTTTGAAGTAGTGGGTAAACAAATATGTACCCTCTGATTGATTGATTTTCTTTATTTTCGGAACGTGAAATTGAATTTTTCCACGCATTTTCCAGAATGCTCAGCATTTCATCAACAAAGCTTGCGCTTCCACCTTCGCTGGTCGCACCTAATGTAATCTTCCGCCGTAACGCGCTTGGTTCTGATTTCCCTGGTCTTATTGTAATAATTCCAGCTGTTCCAGAATCGCAATCATCATCTGCTCGTTGCTCCCTGAATCACTAGTCGTGGTTCTGAGCATTGCAAGGTTACCTGGCTGACAACATTCCCATCACCAACTAAGATATTTAAGTAAAAAGTAAAAAAGGCATCAAATTTAATAAGCGATGACAATCATAATCTCGTCAAACTATTTTTAATTTTATTTGTATATTAATATGTATCAAAAAACAACAAACATTGATTTTAATTTGGATTAGTTTAATTTGTAACAGCCGCTTCGTATATATATTAAGGATAACGACATAAATGTACAATACCACAAAATAGTATCGCCGGTTCAAAATTATACAGTGGCTGCCAAATGTTTTGCATCATCCAAACGACAAATTTAAAAGTTTAATAACTTTGCGCACATACATTGAAGATTCATAAATTTAAATATACATAATTGGCGAATCTTATAAAACATACGGGGATAATCTTATAGGTAATTATTATCGTAATAACAAAAAAAGAGATTTACGCAATTTTACGTGATGCGTTTCTTTTGATTGATTTAAAATATAAAAATTAAAACACTATTGACAACTAACTAACAAATAAAAACATTCTTTACCACCTAGTATACCTTCCTTTAGCATTAATTACATCATCCATTCGCTTGGGCATACTTTCAATTAGCCAAGTTATAAATTCATTGTAATCCAAATTTGTTGAATTGCATCCCACAGTTGATCTTGATTATTGATTGGGATGTCCAATTATTTCAGGCCTCATTCCAGAGATGTTTGATTGGATTTAAATCAGGAGATTGAGGCGGCCATTCCATTACATTAATCTCATTATCATCAAATCATTTCATTATTTTATTAGCCACATGTATCAGATTATTATCTTGCATAAAAATAATATTATTTTTATCCAATAAGTCATCCATTAATATTTCGTGATATAATTCTTGATTCATGATACCATAAATGCATACAATATTTCCAAACTCAAAAGAAGAAAAACAATGCCAAATCATAATACTATCACCAAATTTAACTGTAGATTTTACAAGATGATCATTAAGAGATTCATTTTTATACTTCCAATAATATTCATGTCCATTTGATCCAAATAACATGAATTTTGACTCATCTGACCAAAGCATCTTATTTGCCAATCTTTATGTTCTTTTGCAAATTTTAAATGTAATTTTTGATGTTTTTACTTAAATAAGACTTCTTTCATTTAATTCTTATAGATAAATCATATTTACATAAAGTTCTTCTTATAGTATTGTTACTTATATTAATTTTATTATTATGAATTGATGCAAAAAGATTTATATCTTAGATAAATATTAATAGATTATTTTTTCAAAATAAAATTTTAATTCTATCTTATTTAA